CATAGAGGGTGCTCAAACATTTAGGGTTTCCCATTAATGTACCGGGCTACAGTGGAATTTTCTACTGNATGTTAAATGGTTAAAATCCGTAAATCGCTGCGGGAATAAGGTTTCGCCTTTTGGGAGAATAAACCCCACAGATCCTCAACTCCGGTGTGTTTCACTCATTAACAACGCAACACAGAGCAACAAGAACGTTGTCTACAGTAGCCATGAACTCGCATGTTTTATCTTATTGCATGGACCACCCGAATAGGTTAAGGGGCCTTTGGCTTTTCTTGCCGAGGGGGGGGTGGGGTGCGGTGCCCCCACAAATAGAATAAAATTCTGTGGGAAACACTATCAACCTTTTATAAGCTTGGGCTGTTAAGAGTCCAAACCTAGGGGTCATGCCCCTCTAAAGGGTCTCAATATGAAAAAGTCGGATTGCGAGATGATTAACGGAAATAAAATAAAACGCAACATTTTTTGTTGTCTTTCCTCTAAAATGTGTACTTTTCCTTCAATATTCGATCATATGAAACCTTTGGTGTGATTGCTACAGTAACTAACTCTCTCCTGTGCTGCCTAACATCAGCTGTATACCCCCAGGCTCTTTATTACTCACCATATCGACCTCAGAGATTGTGTCCAAACTTTCAACCTGAACATCCACTCCGACTGGAATTGGAGGACCTGAAATAAAAGGACTCATGTCAGGATTGCATAACACACGTGTTATTTCTCTGCATAGACGCTTGTTGAGCGTTTAATGGCTGTGACAGTGTGTTAAACATATAAGGCAACTAAAACAGAGCTTATTTAAATCTTTGCTCCCAAAACAAACAAACAAACAAACAAACAAACAAACAACAGAAACGATGTAGAGCATCTGCTTGCACCACATCTGTGTCAGCCTAGCTGGGATTTTACTTTTGACCCTGTACTGTATAGCCTTAGTACTCTGCATCCTCATCCACCAAAACAACACAAACACAATTAGGTCACAATAAGGGATCAAAGTGGATGTCGCAGTTGACAAAATCCAGCTCTCCTTTTAACTTGCAGCTGAGCAAAAAAGATCCTGCGAGAGGTCACAGCGGCAGATTGTGGTGTAATTAAAAGTAGGAGTGGTCTGATAAAAACAGCACATGTTTCTCTTATCCAAGCCTTATGTCTAATGACGAATAAAAAGATAACGATGGCTAAAAGGATTATAAATATAAATGTCATTACCGTATTCTAGTGAAAACCAAAGCCTGTGAGCTTTACTTACATTAAAACACTGTTATATACACTCATGATGCAAAATACGTGGATTAACCATGTGATGTAAAAAAGTGCAGTTGAAAGTTAGGGGGTGTCATTAAGATCTCCAGGAGCTTATGGGATTCTTACTGCACGGATCTCATCCAGCTTAACATGCAGCCTATACACTGTGCACATAGTCTGTCTGAGCTATACAAATACAACCCTTTTATTTAAAAGCTCTTCAATTGGAAGTAACATTTCATTTCCTTTCTGACCTCCAAAGGCTGGCCTCATGGTGAAATCGTGGTCGTCTATTCTGAGGAGCTGCTCGGATTTTGTCATCAAGGTTTTTGTCATGTCTGCACTCCGTTTGTAAATGGGACTGTGAAAAAGAAGAAGGTAAAACATGTCATTGAGCTTTAGGGATACATTGTGTGGTGCTTTTATGTCAAAATGGAAAATCCAAAGAATAAATTGGACTGTGGTCATTTTTTCATCAGAGGTTTAGAAAACTCACTTTCCGGTTTTTTGACCTCCACTCCCGTCCATCCTGGTCTCTCTTCGCGACCTAATGCGTTAACGGTAACAAAAACATAAATTATAAACATCTGTAACATATGGCAGCAGCAAAACATTAGAACAAGTTGGAGTTGTTGATATTTTTTATTTAAATCCAGTTTTACCTTTATTTTACAAGGTTTTTCATTTGCAGTTGTAATATGTAAGTAGCTCGGCCGCATTAGTCAACCCACATCAATTCATAGAGTAGGGTACAATGATGTATATATTTTTGTTGGTTTTGAATCTTTACTCCAGTCCACCTTTTCTCATCACATCTGGTAAAGAGTAAGCCAGCTCTTCTACTGTTCAAGAGGCTGCTTGTATGTGTATGCGTTATTGTGTTTGAGTCAGGCAGAGAGAGAAGGAGAAAAAAAGATTTCTAAAAAAACCCTAAAATGTATTATTAGAGTAGAGAAAGCTGTGACAGAGAGGGACAAATCCCTATGACAACCACAGACGTGCATAAAGGAAAAACCATAGAAATAGTTTTCACAGCGAGAAAAACAGACAAACCAAACCAAGGAAGAGGGGTTTTCTAGCTAACTGCAGAGCTCTGTGGGCAGTGGGTGCTCCTCGTATGCGTCCAGCAGCTGGTTTATAATCCTCTTGGCATAAAGGCCTCTACAACCCCCCCCCCCTCTGCCTGCCCACGCCACACAGCGAGCTGCCGTCTGCACACGGTTCCTGCTATGCAGCAAGACACCTGCATGCATCTGGGTCAATGGGCCAGATTCCTGCAGAGGTCATCTTGGACACATGCATGTATACAAAGAACAGAAACTGCAGACAACCTTAAGTTGAGCAAAAGGAAATGCATGTTTAAACCCTAACAGGGTAGAAACAGGAGGTATTGATTATTTAATTGAATATGTGAATACGTCTAAAAGGAGACCCACAACTACACTGTAGGTCAGTGGTTCTCAAAGTGGGGGGCGCAGAGGCATGCCAGGGGGGGCGCGAGAGACCAGGAGGAAAAATGGTTATACTTTTTTTTTTATAGATTTAAAAAAAATTATTGATTTGAATATAATATGATGCAGTACAGTACTATTACATCTGGGCCTCTGTGTTTCATTAAAGCTTGGCTTTGTGTGTGTGTGTGTGTGTGTGTGTGTGTGTGTGTGTGTGTGTGTGTGGTGTGTGTGTGTGTGTGTGTGTGTGTGTGTGTGTGTGTGTGTGTGTGTGTGTGTGTGTGTGGAACGAGCCATTTTGTGTGCGCGAGCGAGAGAGAGAGAGCGCAGAGATCGTTGTTGTTAGCTTTTGGTGCTAGCAAGCTACGCTAACGGATATACGGAGTTTTTTTAACAACAAAGTGGAGGAGAGTCCTCTCCTGTCAGACTGAGAGGCTCAGTGAACTAAATGACTCTCTCAGCGTTATCTCAGTGCGTCTCAAACGTTTTGGTCACCATTAATGTAAACAATTATTTCCGAGGCACACGTTTATATGATCATTATAGTTATAAAAAAACAAGAGAATAAATGAAAAACAGGTATGAAATACTATATGACAGTAAAACAAGAATAAAGTTTAAAAGGGTGATTTGTAAAATATCTATAAAGAAAAAGTCAATCTGTTTACAGTTCTGTTTCAAATGGGTGTTGAGAGAGGTATCCATAGAACTCTTCATTTTGCTCTCAAAGTGCACCAGATTGATGCATTTAACTTCAATATTGAAAAGTAATCTTCCCGGGGGAGCTTGCCCCCAGACCCCCCTATGTGAGGTCCACTCCCCACTTATAAAAATAGCACTTTACCCCTGCTTACACCTATATGCCTTGAGCTGATTATCGAGCCTTCATTGTAACTGTCACACTGTGTGTTTGCGTGGGGATTGTCGTTTCGTGTAAAGTCGTAAAGTTCAATAAAAGAGGGATCTTGGTTGTACAGTTGTTTTTTTGTAACGTGTCAAAATTCTTAATTATTGATGACTTTAGTTTTTCGAATTCTTTAGTGTCGAATAAGAATGTCTATGTTCGGTGTTTATGTTTACGAGGTGTTGTCCCTTTGTCGTGAGACCCGTGCGTAGAGTAGGGAGGGGAGATTTCTTCGTCCGCGCGTGAGGGCACAAGGCTAAATTGTTGAGCGTTATTGGCCCACGTATTTTGTGTTGTCTAGAAGAAACTTATCAGCCGTAGATAGTTATAGGCATTACGTGGAGGATGGCGCGTCACCAACGACGGTGTAAGAGAGAAAGCCGGGGTGGAAACCTCTGTTTGTTTTTCAGCGGGGGCCGGATTTGTGTTAAGTCCGTCGACCGGCCTGCGGTCTGGTCTTCTAAGAAAACCCCACGACACTCCGATCGAGACGCAAAGTATCTCCCCGGTTGTGTAAAATCCGCAAAGTAATTACATGCGGAGCCCAGCGTTTTGTTTTTTGTGTGTGGATAGTCAGTGTCCTCTGTAAAGATGACCGTTGTTATAGTGTTGTTTGTTNTGTGTGACGAAGTTACCTTCGTCACTGTGGACTGACGGCTTCGGGCCTTGTAATATTGCACATGTGGTTTGGTTTGGGGGTGTTCCCCAAACCCGTTTTGTCTGCAAAACGGGTTTGGGGAACACCCCCAAACCAAACCACATGTGCAATATTACAAGGCCCGAAGCCGTCAGTCCACAGTGACGAAGGTAACTTCGTCACACAACCTTTAGGACGATATCAATCAGCACTGGTATATTCTATTTTACAAAATGTAAACAACATGATGCAACAATATAAGCGCAGTATAACAGTAGGCCTACTCAACAGCGTCAACATATACTGTCCCATCCACCAACAGTTCTATAAGCCAGGGGTTCCCAAACTTTTCAGCCCGCGACCCCCAAAATAACAGTGCCAGAGACTGGCGACCCCCTGTCGACGGGGGGAGTGAAAAAAAAGTTTGAGAAACACTGCGCTAGTGGATTGTCAAAGGGGGAGCCTCGTTGCGGGGAAATTATACAGATGGCTAGTCCGCCCCTGAAAATGTCTATGCAAACGTTATTATTAATACTAATTAAAAAAAAAAAATTATAAAAAAAATTAGTAAATATTTTTTAATAAAAACATTTTTTTTTAATACATTTTTATTTTGTAATCATCTGGCGACCCCCACTTGGGGTCTCGCGACCCCCACTTTGGGAACCCCTGGATTAGACCACCAAAAAATAATAATAATGTTTTTTTTGTGTGCCTTGGCATCCATGTGTGGCGGACTATATTTAATTGTGGTGGCCCGCCACAAATAAATCAATGTATGGGAAACCTCCTTGCAACCGTTATTTATTGACATTAGCTGATAATACTGTATTTTTATTTAATTAAGATTTTGAATGCAGGACCTTTACTTGCCATGAAGTATTTTTATTGTATTGGTACTTGTACTTAATGAAATCATTTGAGAACCAGCTTCTTGCTTCCTGTAGGACTTCACCATGACTCTGTACCTGCGTCACTACTGGAAGGACGAGCGGCTGTCCTTCCCGAGCACCAACAACCAGAGCATGACCTTCGACAGCCGCCTGGTGAAGAAGATCTGGGTCCCCGACATGTTCTTCGTCCACTCCAAGCGATCTTTCATCCACGACACCACGACCGATAACGTCATGCTGAGGGTTTACCCCGACGGAAACGTCCTCTACAGTCTCAGGTAAACACATCTAGCGAGCATGAACCTAGCCGAGGAGCCAACTGAACCTAAAATAAACAATATATCAAATATGTCATACAGAAAGATATTATTCAGTAGGAAAGGTCTGTATATTTAAAACATGACATTTGAGATAATGACTTTGGCGTTTTATTGTTAAAAAAAACTGGTATCAGAGAGAAAAGCGTTTTCCCCTGTAGTCTAAACAAAAAAACCTCCCTAAGCAATGCCAACATACTGAAAAAATTACCAAAATTGGCAAATGAGAAGATCGCATAGCAGTCATTTTAACTTTTAAAGGTCACCTCTGATTCCTTTCAGATAGTTTCACAGCAGGGGAAGCATCTTGTGGAATAAAATGTATGAGTCATTTGATGTTACCAGAGGAAAATGCCAAATGCTGTGTGACATTTCTCAGCTGATTGCAGGGACTTTTTAAATATCAATTGGTTTAATATTTACAGAGATAGTAGTGAAGTAGGCCCCTTGATGGGAAAATGGTGGAAGAGGAAGGGAAGAGGGGAAAAGTGAGACTAGAATACAGGAAGAGAATACATAGTTAAAAAAAGAAACGTTTATAAAAACAACACATATCCTTATTTTCTTGGTTTCAGTCAGCTAAAAACAAAGCCTATGTACACACAGTTGTCAGTTTACCCTTCGTCCTTGCTGGTACTCATTTTCTTTGGTTCTCTGCTGGTCTCCCTGCAGAGTCACTGTCACTGCCATGTGCAACATGGACCTCAGCCGCTTCCCTCTGGACACCCAGACCTGCTCGCTGGAGATCGAGAGCTGTGAGTGCATTTATAAAAATAGATCGAGCAATATTTTAGAAAGACAGCAATATCTCAATTAAATTATCAGATATCAAAGTTTCCTACACGACAAAGTGTTTATGTTTTCCAGATAACTATCTCACTGACCTTTTTGTAGTGCCATAAATATGACTAACATCTCCTTGATATTCAAGAAATGGCTATATTTACTGAGGACATTGCAACCTCTTTTACAATTTCCTTGCAAAATGTTGCTTTCGCACTCTCCTCAAGTTTGCTCACCAGATCTCTCATGAAATCTGTGATATATGATTATATGTGATGCCAAAACCTCGCCTCGAGCATCACCCTTTCAGCTCCTCTGCTAATAAGGCTCTAAAACTGTCAGAATCACACGGTGCGATGAACATCGAAGTCTCTAGGGACCGCTTGAGGTGCTTTAGAATTGTGAAAACTCTTTTTAAATCTTCGCATATTTTGTTCACATTAAAACCGAGCAAATGTGAAACTAAATCTGTCCTGATTTGGTTTGCCACAGATGTACTCACTTCTCCTTCTTCTCCCCTCCAGATGCGTACACAGATGACGACCTGATGTTGTACTGGAAGAAGGGCAACGAATCCCTGAACACGGACGAAAGAATATCTCTGTCCCAGTTCCTCATCCAGAAATTTCACACCACCACTAAGCTGGCTTTCTACAGCAGCACAGGTATCCACAACAAGCACTTCTAAGACATACAGTATACCCAACTGATTATGCAAATGTCTGCTTTGTGCATAAAAAACGAAATCACAATTGAAACTTACAATGAGTCCTATTTGACTTTTAAAGCCTTTTCCAACTAAAGGATCAAGTCTTTCTGACATACATTTTGAATGTCACACCAGGAATAATACGCTAAAATGTAATCCTTGCCAAACTAAATAAATCAAACTCCTGTCAAACATTGTAGAGCCGCTGTGAAAGCCCCGCAGCTTCCTTAAAACCACATGTCACTCTCTAGCTCCTATCCCTCCCTGCTACAGTTTGGAACCGCCGCTTTGAGTATTTGTGCTGTGTAACGGCAGATCAAATACCACAATGTTATTATTTCTTCTTCCCAGGCTGGTACAATCGCTTGTACATCCACTTCACCCTGCGGCGCCACATCTTCTTCTTCCTGCTGCAGACCTACTTCCCGGCCACTCTGATGGTCATGTTGTCCTGGGTGTCCTTCTGGATCGACCGCAGGGCCGTCCCCGCCAGGGTGCCGCTCGGTAGGAAGGAGCTCCTCTCACAGGGCGACGTATCAGCAGAAAAACTCAGCTCAAAGAGAATATTAAGTGTGGAGAAGTGGCTTATTCCCAGCAAAAAAATGGGGTAGCTGGATAAGATAAGATGTACTTTTTCGATCCTAAATTGCGATTTTTTTTCCCGTTATAGCAGCAAGGCATTTCATATCATTAGAAATGAAAAAGAATCTAATCGTAAAACGCAACTAAAAAAAAAAAAATGACCGTGAGGATAAAACATCTGTAAACTATCTCACAAATAAAACACTATTGAAGGGCCAAGTTACAGTTTGCACAATATACACTGTTGCCCACTGTGATTTAATTTTCACTGTGAGAGTTGTTTTTTTAAGGCTCTTATTAAAGAACTTATCAGAATCAGCTCACCCTGAATATTTATGAATCTTGTCTAGCTTCAGAAAGGATAAAGATACCATCGAGCACTGGAGGGAGCTTTAGAAGACTCCCAGTGAGAGGATGGCGTCATGCCACCAGGAAGGAAGTGAAAGGCATTTATTAGAGGCCAAATAAGGAGACATTTAAAATGGTTGGAAGTATTTTTGAAATGGTGTCAAAGTAGTTCTGCCAGTTGCAAATGTAATGTTGGGCCAGAAAAGTTTTTAAGGGTTGGATCGGATGGAAGCATGACATGTGTCTCAACTATCGGGAATACATCGTGAAAATCAAGCTTTGGAAAAATGGACCCTAGCACTGTGTCAGTGGGAAATGAGTGGGGATTTTGTTAAGAGCAGTATCTCACAACCGACCCTCCTGATTTATCCTCAGTTTTTTCTCACAGAAAGCCTTGACTTCATGCTCACTTAGCCCCAAAACTCGTGAACCTGATAATTTTATACAATACGATTTTTTTTATTTTCTTCTGCAGAGAGCTTTTCAGAGCGTTTCGACACTGATAGTGAAAGTACTAGATCAGAAGGCAGGGTAATATGGAAAAACGGTTATATAACGTAGCCCTTTCTATGGTATTTATCATTCTTTTTCAGCTTCCCAGCCCAGTGTAAATCAGCGCTTTGATGTGTTTGTGTGTTTTACTCCAGGCATCACCACAGTGCTAACCATGTCCACCATCATCACCGGGGTCAACGCCTCCATGCCCCGCGTCTCCTACATCAAGGCGGTGGACATTTACCTCTGGGTCAGTTTTGTCTTTGTGTTCCTGTCGGTGATAGAGTACGCGGCGGTCAACTACCTCTCCACCGTGCAGGAGAGGAAAGAGAGGAAACTGAGGGAGAGAGTAAGTATTATTTTTGTGAATTTTTATCCTCTGGTTGTTCATAGTCTGAAGTTAAAAACACAGTTAACCTATGAAATGTTTGTCTTTTATTATTCACGTACACAGTGTAACATTACCAAACCAGAGCAATATCAACTCTGCTTCACTACATTACAAACAGTACTTAAAAAAGCATTAAAAAAACTCAATTATTGGGCACATTTTCTTAAGACTAAACGAATAAGAGTAAAAACTGCTTGTGAGGAAATCATGTCATACAGGGTGTAAATAATAAATGTGTAACTGACTCAATCTTTCCTTAAAATAAGGAAGCAACAGAAAGCTCTGATGTTTTTTGAATTAATTATTAAGTAACATTTTCATATTTTTTAATGCTGAAATGTCCTTCACACAGCGTATACAGTTGTAGTTAAACCCTTTAACAACCATGCTATATGTTTAAAGGGGACAAATCATGATGACTCTATTGTTGAGTGCTTCATAAACATCTGCATATCTGGAGTGCATACCAACCCAAACATTTGTAAAAAAAAATGCCTTTATCAGAAAACATGAGATTCAGTATGAGAACTATTATGTGTAGCTAGCAGAAACAAGAAATACAAGTATGAGCCTTAATTAAGCATAACGTGTCCGCTTTGGTGGTAAACATGGAATAAATATACTTTATAGGCTACTAAAAAATCGAATCCAACCATTTTAAATCATTTTACGGACTGATTTGAATAACCCAAGTGTTAAACGGTCTACTTGTACGATGAAAGCTGAGTTGCTGTAATAGCTTCAGATAAGAAAGATGTTCTCATGAAAAGCCAGCAAAGAGACAGCTGAGGTTAAATGCAACATCTCCAGACTCCGCCCATCCCTTTCTCAATCAAACACTGAAGTCCTGGTCAATGCATTTGTCACGTCCCGCGTCGACTACTGTAACGCCATCCTCTCAGGCATTCCCACCAAACTCATCAATAAACTTCAAATCATACAGAACTCTGCAGCCCGGATCATCACCGGCACCAAGGCCTCAGAACACATCACCCCCATCCTCATCCAACTCCACTGGCTCCCTGTTCAATCCCGTATCAACTTCAAAAACCTACTGCTCACTTACAAAGCCACATAACCTTATTATTATTATTATTATTATTAAGCTCTCTCTAAGTCAAAACAGCACTTGTATGACCTGATTTTATATCCAAATATTTTATACATTTAATTATTTCAAAACCGGTGGAAGCATGAATACTTCATGGGCATTTGAAATAAACAGATAAATATTTTCTAAATTGGCTCAGTTTAAGCTTCTCTCGGGCTACGGTATATTATTTCTGAGACTACAGCTCGTGTGTTACTGTTCTTCATCTGCCAAATGCCGCAGCATCTGGAGCCAAATTGCCCACGTACCCCGAGGAACATTTCCAGCACAAACATCCTTCGTTCTATAAATGTTTCAAGCCAAAGTGATTTAAAGTCACTCAGTGTGTAGAAAAATAACATTTAACAAACTAATGGATTTATATTCTTTGTTTCAGTTTATGACTTTACAATGAGCAGATTTCAGAGTGTTAAAAAGGACTTTGTGTTCTTTTTCCTCCTCCAGCTGCCGTGTACATGCGGCCTTGGTAACCCTGACGACATGATGATCGACCCCCAGATCACTGGCTACGGGTCCATGGATATCAACAACACGGGGAATTATGGGATGCCGGTGAACGGCGGTCGCCAGGACAGAATGTTGGCCCAGGTGTCTCTGAATGACCCGCAGATCACAGGCCAGATGAAGGCCTCCAGAGGCTACGTGAACGTTTGGATAGACACCCACGCTATAGACAAGTACTCCAGGGTTATGTTTCCTGGAGCGTACATCCTCTTTAACATCATCTATTGGTCCATCTACTCATAACCCGGGGATGCAGAAGATGATGATGATGAGACTCCAGGAGCAGGAACACGTGATGCTTTTCAGACATGATGAAGCATGGGGACCACTGACAGATTGGTGACCACTGCCTTCTCGACCCAGCCACTTAAAACTGGAGAATTTCAAATCAGCTACAGACGGACAGGATGGTTGACATAGCTGTTTTTATCACTCCGTCAAATCTGTGTGGTTTCATGTTGTAATTATAGACGTTTGGATATCGTTGTGTCCTGAAAACGTACTTCACAGAGAGACTCACACACATGGACCTGTGTTTCTGTGCAGCTCAACCCACTTCAGTTATCAATGCAGTGACTCAGCAACTCTTTAATTAAAATATGAACCGGAAGCGGATTACTGACACATTCCTTTTCTTTTTCTATATGAACTAGACGTGACAATCAATGGCAAACTGAAAATATTCAAGGTTGGTTTGTCGTTATTATATTCTAGATATCATTCTTCGTCGTAAAAATCTCAGCTCTTGGATGAGAAAAAAAATGAATTTTCTTCTAAAAACCTGATAATGTGATTATTTTAAAGTGTTTCCTTTGCAGCACGTTAGTTTGATTCAGAATGTGTTAAATGTTCTGGTGATCTTTGTGTCAATGCAATTATTTTGCTGTCAAGCTACTTACTGTCGTGCGTTTTCGTAATTCGACAAAGTTCAATATAAAGAAAAAGAGCAAAAAATGCAGTCAATAAAAACACAAATGTTAATATGTATGTTAAGTAAAACCGGAACATGAATTATGGTATTGACTTGATAAATGTACTAATTTCATATTTCAATATTTTATACAACTGAAGCTCATCTCCTCTGTTTGATGTTGTGAGGCGTTGAGGTTACAGTGACCTGTTAGTTGCTAGTGTTATCGTCTTTTTCAGCTTTAAACTCAATTATGTTTTGGTGATTAATGACAATTTTATGACAAAAAAAATCTGATATTATAGCAAACGCTGGTAACAAATGTATCAATGGGAAACATGTTTGATAATGAGCTTACAGGTGCTGAAGAACACAATCACAATACTGTACATTTTAAATCTCCTCAGTGTAATACATGTACAGATGTAAATGGATTTTGCTGCATGGCTGAATATCGCTTCTTTCTGAATGTTGCTTCTGAAGACATCAATTAAAATCTGCTCAAAACAGTTGAAGCATTTGGCTACATTTTTCTGGTACAACCTCTAGACTCTAGAGTCTCCAAATTTAATCCAATTATCCTGTTCTCCTTTACAGTATATTTCAACAGCGCTGCAGGACAAGCTTTCACAGTGATTAGACTTTGGATTGCCTCTCCTCTCTCTACAGCACAGGTCTGATATTGCTGATTAGCTTTCGTACCAAATCATATATAAATCCCTTATTTCACATGTGAGCAGTTAATGGTATTACAGAATATAAATATATATCCTCTGAAGTAGAGAGGTGTCGATGAAACTTGGCTTTAATACATTAAGCCCATTTTCTGATTTCTTACAGATAAAAGAGTAAAGATTTTTTTTTTTTCAAAGAATGTGTCATCTTTCTTTTTTGTACAAGTAACATCACCGAGGGCAAGCTGACAATTCAAACTGTGTGCACCAGTCCATTATCCTTGAATCCCTGCAGCAGAGAGAAATGAGCATCCAAAAAGATGTCCAGAACTGGATTTTCCACCACATCTGTGACCACTCAAAGGCGCTCAAGGGAAGCAAACGTTTGAATCGTGTGCTGATGGTGAAAACATGCTGAGAAATCTGAAGGAGTGAAAAGACCAATGGCAGAACTCAAAGCAATATTGTGGCAGCGGGGTGTGGTTAGGGCGTCGGCTGCTGGAGTGAAGGGAGTGGCTCGGCCGGAGGCCAGACAGCTGATCGGAATCAGGTAATCAGTGACGATATAAAAGCATGTCGTAACCTGGTTCTGGTCTGTTTTGCAGTAGGCGGGATCCTGGAAGGTCGCCAAAGGACCTGTGAAGGTTCCCACACGGGCAACGTTTGAGACCCGTGTATACTTTGTTTTGGGTGCTAATAAACGCCTGTGATCAACCAACCGGCTCTTTCCGTCCCTATTTGAAGGTTGTGGCTAGAAAGGATCCGTCTAGTGTAAAACTCTCGCGAGAGTTTGCAAGTCACGTGGCTGAATGTCTACGTTTGGCAGGCAGCCTTTCAGTTACGATCGTTAACATCAGTGGGCCACATNGACCACAGAGACACAAAGAGACAACAGAGACACAAAGAGACCACAGAGACACAAAGCGACCACGAAAGACAAACTATAGACAAAACAACTACAGAGACCTAAAACAACTCCACAAATACACAAAACAACTATGAAGAGACACAAAACTACTCAGACCAAAAATAACAAAAACTGCTAAGAGACAAACAGTGATCACGAGAGATAAAAACAACGGCAAAGAAACACAAGACATTGAATGAAAATAACAATCTGTCTCTCTCTCTAGCCAGTTGTGGGTATTTTGCATGTCTCTCACACAGAACCTAAAACTCTGACATGTTTCTCCCAGTTGGTCCACAGCTCATGTGTCCCACTAAGCTGCAGGTGAGGGAGGGGGAGAGCCTGAGCTGCGAGGCGAGAGGAAACCCCCCGCCATCCGTCACCTGGATCAGAGACGGAGTGGTGGTCGCCGTACCTACTAAGTCCAGCAGGGAGCATGCTGGGAATTACACAGTTTCTGCAAAGTCTCTTCTGGGACAGACACGTTTCACAGTGGAAGTGGAGGTCCTCCCTGGCAAAGGTACGTGTATTAGTGCTGCGTTCATATGCCTGAAATCTATATTTACAGCCCCATTGTTCTTTTATATTGAGTTCCTATTAACGAGGTTTAAACGTTCTTTCCTTCCTGAATATCCGAGTGCATTGTTATGTTTTCTAAATAGCTTTAAAACATCCTGTATCAAGGGAATTTATTTGTCTCTTCCTTTTTAGGGACTACAAACAGTTACAACGGGCATTTCCTGTTGGCCGTCTTGCTTATTTGGACGATCAACTGGTCATAAAAACTAAGGACTCAACGTGATGTGTGATGATTTTTATTCCAAAAATCTGCGAGGGAGATCTGCTTCTGCTGTGAGAAACGTTTGTCAGCGAAAACTCGTTCCGTCTCCCTTTCCTGCAGTGTGATATATAGGTTTGTGTGCATGTAAATGGTCTGCAAAGGCTAAAATCCCAAAGTTCCCCAGAGTGAGCTTCTAAGTAGCAGATAAACCTCTCTGCTTCGAGAGATTCTGCACAGGTACATTTTCTTAGAATAATTATTAATCTGATCTTTATGTAACCCGCACAAACTAACTTCCATATACTCAAGACTGAAAGCTGCTGTAGAAATAATTCACAATGTATTTTTGTACATTTCACTAATCCAAACTCGTACTGCCATAAAGATTTTATGGACACAAAACAATGTTTGTTTGTGTCGTGTGTACAGCTGTTTTTTTTCCTGTAGAATAAGATACTAACAAGTGGTGTTCAGACTTTTGAAATGCTCCAGATCCTTCACTAAAGTCATGTTCATTCTGCTGTGTATTAAAATGCTGAATTCTCCTGTCCAACATCAGTGCTTTCTTGCTTTAGACTTTAACTTCCTCGCCAATTCACCAACAAAATATGCTCCAAATTAACATAATATCAAGGGTCTAACGTTGATATGTCAAACTTTTGTAAGAGTGGCAAACGTAAGCTAAGTGTTGAAACTGTTAATTAAAAGAAAAAGGTATGCCTGGTTTTAAAGCAATACAAAATAATAAAAATTGGATGAAATATTTGAAGACTTGGGGTGTTTCTCAATGTCGAGGACGCTTCCTTGGTGGGACATGTCTTCCCACAGGTCCATCAGAGGCTAGGCAAGAATCCTTCCTGGCATTCGGAGAACGAAGAATAGAACTGGATAGCAAGTGTGCGTCATATGAGAGGCCCCGCCTTACATTTTCCGCCAAAGATTTTACAAATTGGTCCGTACGCAAAGCATTGTGGGGATTTTAAGACCGCGGAGGATACACATGTGCAGCTTTGAACTTTCCCACAACGAAGGATGCCGGCCTCGGTAGAATTCCAAGCATCCTGGACATTGGAACAGTCCTTCAGCGGGACTCGATGACGTAGCATCCTTTAAATAGTGGCTCTGGACATTGAGAAACACCACAGGTCACAAACATAGCAGTCGGCCACTTTCCACATGCACACTTAGTGTTTTGTAATGTATTTATTGCATGTAAGGCATCAATACTGAAACTTAAGGCTCATTCACTAACTCCTTCAGTGTCTCTACCTTTGAAGACAATTTATCTAAAATCAAATGGCTGCACAACATGTTCATTTTTAATTATTTATTCATTCAAATTAAATCATACATTATAAACAAAGCCTCTCAAATACAAGTTGATTAAAGTGTCATTGCACAGTTAACCACAAGGTGTTATCAGAAACAGTCTGCTCATTTCTAAATTGGTATAAGTGCCATTTCTCCTTTCATAGGTAAAACAAAAACTAGCATTTCTTTGGTTACTTCCCAACTCAGATGAAATGCAAAACAAGTGAAAATGTTGAGCACATTTCCACTTGAAAAAAAAAAAAACTCAACTTGTAGCTGTAGACTAAAAGTAATATTCATTAGCCAATTGACTTTTGATAAGAAACTCATTTGCACAGCTGATTTTGGTGTCGTAACTCCTGTGTTTGTTATAATCTCAACATGTGTCCAGTCAAGAAACGGCTCCCACCTCGAGAGAAATAAACAAAAAGTTGAACAAACCTTCATCTACTATATTCCATGTCTTAAAAATAAAACATATCTGGGTTGTAATTTGTCAAACAATAAGTCTTTACTTAGTTTAGGTCTTGCATTGTTTGATCCTAAATGTTAGAAAAAAGGCTATTGATGGTGGTTTAACATTTTGTCAGATCATTATTTTATTACTACCAATAATAGAATAATAATTAAATAAGGTTATCAGTCAAACTTTTACCTGAACATTCAAACTAATGTTTGAATTCTATAGTAGGGACTGAAAATCAGGATATCTGCTGTTTAGAGTTTTTTCATCCAAGACTACATCAACTAAATATGATTAAACAAAACGTACAGCGTGTAAATCTGCACCGGGAGTTGTCATTGTAGCATAACGTCATCGTCGTCTGAGATGATCTGCACTTGTCCAGCATCAGAGAGCCGGGCGACGTCTCTGACCTGCCGAGGCACAACGACTCGGCACACCGGGAAACCCACCGGGCTGGAATGAGGGGGCGGAGGAGGGAACGGAGGACTTCTGGTGTCCGACCCCAGGATCCAGTGATGGAATGAACGCTTGTATTTAGCCACGGCTGCTTCCAGGAGCTCCTGGGGGATCGGCTGCACACGAGCCAGCGCCTGCTCTGCGAGGAGCTCCAGGAGGGACTGAGTCTGAGCAGACCTGGCGCTTATCGGGGGTTTGTCAGCAGGTGTAGAGGAGGCAGAATCCACTGAAACCCTTCCTGTTTGACCCGCCACCTTCAGCAAGGTTTCCTTATTCTCAGAACTAAGGGAAACTGGATTGGAGAGATTTCTGATCAAAAATCTGTTTATTGTGTTTCGACAATGTATAAGTAATGTTTGTCATTTAGAGATGGAAAGCAGAATATATGCATACAAATGAGACAGTGGTCTGTACATACAGAGATTTTTTTTTACAAAAAACACAAACAAAAACATTGACTAAAGTAATCCCCTACGTTCACTGCCAGTGAGCCTCATACACACGATTATTTATCAGGAACATTGTTAGATGAATATATGCGTGTAACACACATACATGCAGCAAAATACCTGGATTGGAGGGATTTAAACTCACGATAATGACATCGTCTGAGTCGTGAGGCGGTCCTCTCAGCAGGGGAGACTCCTGGAGGAAGCTTAAGTTATCCGAAGTAGCGAGAGGAGAAATGAGAGGCGTCTGCTTCTTCTCAGGCCGGACCCTCTTCACTCTGAGAACACATGTGAGAAGTGAATTTGGAAATCCTTAAAAAATAAATAAATCAAGACCTTTCGTAACATTTCCTGAAGCATCTAGACTAGGAACTCATACAAATAAAAGAGATACACTCACGGTAATGGTGCAAAGAGGCTCAACATCTCCCTGCTCTCCTTTAACAGCACCCTGAAACAACACATGTTGAGTAGTAATCAGATTACTTTCTTTAGGAGATTGGGTTTCAAATTTAGATTGAAAATAAATCATATTAAAATTATAGAAATATTAGTATAACAAAAATATTAAAGGTGGGGTAGGTCATTTTGGAGAAACCAGCTTGAGTGCGCTGGAATTTGAAAATACACAACCGGAAGAAATCTGCCACTTCCTTAGAGAGCCCCTCCTCCAACACACACGAACGCGCACATGACCAATGAGGGCACGAGATAAGTTTGTGCACAGATGGAAGGCTGACAGGCAGGTAGGCCATCCAGTTATTTTAGCCGGGCCGGCTCAGATGATTGGTCGTGCTTTTTACAGCGCTACGGCTTCCACAGATGAAATTTGTTAATGGATTTTTTGTCAAACATATATTATTATATTATATATATATTATGTAAACATATATTCATTGCTATCGGGATGTTAAGAGCATTCCATGGAATATAACAAAAAGTGTATCTCAAGCCGGTTTCTCAAACTTACCTACCCCACCTTTAAGTAAGAAAGTTTAATAAATGGTCAAATAAAATACATATGTAAAGAGAACTTTAAGTTAAACTGTCCAATAAAGATAGAATGAAAAACAAATATGTATTTAAATATAAGTTAAAGTAAGTGGTGTGCACATTGTACCACAATCTATGACAGATATATATATATACACACAATAGTGGTACATTAGTATGGATAAGATATTGAATTGCAGTTTAATGGGGAATTGTTTTAACAGTAAGAGAAATCAGGCTGTTGAGACTGAGTTTGCCACGGTGTGACCAACCTGGATTGCATCCACCCCTTTGGCCACAGCAGTTTGACCTCATTGTCTAAAAAGGTCTTCAGATATTCCTCCAGCTCCTGACCACTTTTCTGTCTTTTATACCTCTCCATGTTCACGGTTAACACGTGACACAGGCACTCCCTGTGTGAGAGATGTTGGCACAAAGTTAAAATTAAGTTATTTAAAATTTTAAATAATCTAATGATGATTAAATCTGACCTTATCTCTTCGTTCCATTTGAACAGCTTCTTTGGACTTCCTCTTTTCCCGCCTTTCTCCTCCATGTTGTCCTCTGGACCAACATTCTCCTTCTGTTTACTTTCTTTCTCCTCCGCTGCCCTGACATTAAAACAGAGATTAAGATGAGACAAAAAAGATCCACAATGAGCCCAAACCATGAACTGAGGAGAATCAAGTGTACGGCCTCAAATTATGGACACAGTCGGTTTTTTTTCTAGAAGCTGCACAAAAATATGTGTGAATACAAAATGGAAACAAGGCTTTGAAATAAATATATTCTCATAATTGATAGATGAAAAGATAAAAATCTAATAATTTGAAGCCGAATGCCCCTTTTTTGGCTCCGCTGTTAGCAAATAGCAATCTAACAGTACCATGTAGTAAATGAAAGGAATTTTCCACAAGATATATGCTCAAGTGCTTACTTTGAAGTCCTGGCTTGCTCATATACTTGACAGCTTTCATTGAAACTTGCAATCTGCTCGGGCATGGCTCTGCAGATGGCCTCCTTCAGTTTCTGCATGCGGTTCTCCACATCAGAGCATTCCTCCTGGTCAGTGTCAAATTCAAGATAAAAGTCACATGCAGATGTAAAACTTGAAACACATAGGCTACTACAAGTGATAAACAAATAAAACTCACCGTGTGTGCGAGGAACAGTTTCTTCACACGTTTGAGGAGTGTGTCTCTGCTGCAGGGCAGGAAGGACGACAGGTGTGTGTAGACCTTGGAGCGCAGCTGGNGTGTGCCTTGGCAGTCTCAGATGATTACAAATGATGAAATACAATGTAAAACTACCGAAAAATACCAGCTCCTTAAAACACAACCGCTCTACTCAACGCAACTCTACTATACCCGCGGTCAGAGAGCGGAGATGTGTCCCCTGTGTGATGTAATATGACGCGTTTGACGTATGACCTTAAAAAAAAGCCGTTTTTAAGAGCAGAGCTCAAAATTGCTCCTTTCCCTCTGAATTCTTGCACTTATGTCTCGTAAAACATATCAAATCCTGCATTCACTTTTTTAATTGTAATTTTCAAGCAAGTTTAAGCATAAATGTAGAAAAAATAAAAACCTGCAAGATGCTCTTTAAATGACTCATTATAGGTTTTTGGATTCACAAACAAAAGGAAAGTTAAATTGACATTTCTGTTTTAAAAAGATGTAATATGTAATTTTGACACATTAAAATGCCTTAAAACAAGACAATGTGTTGGGTTCTGAACTTACATTATCCCAAATGTTTTCTACAATTTTCAAACCCAGAGATAATTTGAATGAGACACTTTTATAAATGTCGGTCGTTTATAACTATTTAAAAATCTATTTTAATTTACTGAAAAAAGCTAGATCTTTAAAAAAAAGATGAGCATGCGTTAAGGAGGAAACCCTTTTTTTAAATTACCAAACTGCTTTATTCAGTGTTTTTGCCAATTTTGATCAGCGTGTCAGTTTGTTTTATATAGGAGGTGACATCTGTGGCTAATTCAGCTGCCGGTAAAACTACATAATTCAAGCTTAATAATAGGCTGGGTTTCTACTACACTCATATCTATAATGGATATACATCTAGACAACAACCCTACAAATGCCAAACCCCTCTAGGTCACTGTCACGCAATGATTTCAATTTTCATGAGTGCTCGTAACAGTATCTTCACACTCACTGACAAAGCACCCAGAGGTGCAGCAGAGTGATGATAATCACTTTGGGGATACATCAAGCAATTACACATTGAACAAATATAATGGACCCTGGGTTTTTCACTTCCTGCCGATTGCATGTCGCTCTGCAGTGATTTAGTGATCACAATTAATTGGTATTACGATTGAAAAATGAAAACCTTCCAAAAGAAGCAGAAGTGTAGCAGTGTTCACCAACCAGTCACAATCAATCCCCGTTTATTCTCTGGTTCTTAGTTTAGGTGCGCCCGACATATTATGGGTGAATGGTGTCCAGTCCTGTGTAAACTGCTCATGACATTTATTGAGAAATAACTTGCAATAACAATACATAAACCTACACGCACACAATGCTTGATGATTTCCTTTCCCTCCGCCTTACTAAGTGATTTCCCAGAGGGGCTGAAGGAGCTGGGAGCAGTTTGACATGTCCTCTTTTCAGTAGCTGGGTCGCAGCTCTGCATGAGTAAGAAAACCCACATGAGGGAGTGTTACAGCCGTCAGCACATTCAGAAACAGAGAATAGGCAGAAGTGATACTGGAGTGAGTTGCTAATTTACACCAAGCAAACCCTAGAAAAAAATGCAAGTCAAAATGACCCGAAACACTACAACAATAGAAACCTTGTTCTTTTCCACAAGAATATGCCTCCTTTCCTCAAAGGAAAATCAATACTCAAAAGAACAGCCATTGGCACAATGCTGGGAACATAATCTATTTTTTCTTTTAAAGAACTGGACAAAGCACAATTTTGCAGCAAGATTCAGAAATTGCACAGGTACAAGATGATTCTCTTAGAATTGAAAAGCATTTTATTTCACTCTCAGTCCTGCTGATACAAGCCCAACCAGTAATGGGTCACAGCTCCTTTAACCTGGCATATAATGATCAAAAAGTTGCATACAAAACATATCATGAATGCACCAGAGCAACAATTCATGCAGCCACTTCAGCAAACCTGGTGCTTAATATCAGCCTGTGAAATTCATCATACTGTACAAGTAAGCACACCAAAAGTGAAACTGTTTTTCTCTTTGTTGCGGTCAGACACTTTGCATTTGTCAGGGCTCGAGAACAAATGGTGAGACGCTACAATAATTTGTTGCATGTCATTCATGAAGTCGCTGTTTTTCAAGTTGCAGCACTGCTGGAGAGTCAACTCGTTTTGAAGTCATCCTTCAAGTAAATTCAGAGCAAACTATTCAGCCCCACGTCTCATGAATGATGGATTAAACGATTTGTGAACAGAGGAGAGTGAGCACCACTTGATGCAGACATGAAGTCATAGCTCGTTTAAAACTAGACGCCCAGTCATTTGAAATCACTAAAACCACGTTTTCGTTGTGTTTTTTTTTTTTTTGCATTCAACAGAAAATAACCAGAGTAACTGAATGATTAGTGCAGTAAAGCACAAGTTCCAAAACAATATGATACTATATTGATTCTTTATTCCTCACAAAGTCCACCAAAATGGATTTCTATTGGATTTAGGAGCCTGCAATTAATATATGTCCATTAACACATCAAACAAATCAGTTCAATGTTATCTACCCACTTAAAGCAACCACAATTCGATCTGATAATTGTTTTACCGGGCTATTCCGGACATCTAAATTAAAAACTATCAATTATTTTTTATATTAAGACAATTATTCACAAGGACATTATATTAGAAAGGAGGTATGCTTGGAAAGAAATGGTAGAGATGTGATAGTTTAAAAAAAAGGTGTATCTTAAAAATTATTTTTACTTTGCATCAATGAGCCGTATACATTTCAATGTACTGGTAAATCTCTTTCAATGAGGTCACATCATTTAATAAAATAGGTCTTATCAAAAGGAATGATTGTACACCTTTTACCCTTTACCCATGCTCATTAGAGCTGAAAAAAACCTATTCGTATCAATTAGAAATCTAATGGTTTAACAATTTTTTCAACAAAAGGTTAGAAAATATTGACAAATGGTGATTTATTTTAAAGACGGCTTAAGGGTACTTCTTTTAAGAGGTCATGGTGTTCACTTTACTTTTCAAAAGCCAACAGAGGATCAATATAAAATCGGAAATAATAAAGAAGAAAAGAGAAAAAAATACAACTTTTCAAATTTGAGAAAGCTGGAACCAGAAATGCTTGCAATTTTTTCGTTATAAATAACTTGATGACATATCAATCAACCGTAGTGTTTTTGTTGATTGATTCCCTGCCTGTTGTCTAATCAATTAATGGTTTCAGTACTAGTTTTCATATGAGGCACCTCAGATACACACACAGTCTGCCATTACCATTAGTGTTCTGAAACCTGTGGTTAGAGCACACATCCCTATCTGTCACTGGACTCATACCTAAAACTCAATATTGGAGACCATTTGGATCACCTTGAGAGGTCCCTGGTGGAACCCCGGACCTTACAGCAGTTAAACGCATGTAATATCCTATAATATGTGTGGATTAGGAGTCTGAGCATTTTACGACAGGTGCATGACACAGATCAATGGCACAGTGCAGCTTCCAATTTCACGGTGCATAGTGCGAGGCTACGCGTAAAGTGATTCATATCTAGTGCAACTGCAGAGTAGTCAATATCCTTGTGTGCCCTCCGGTGAGCGATTGATTCCAAACAAAAACCACACACACAGCAAGGAAACAGGTGCATGGAAATCTATCTGCAGTGCAATAGCAGCTTCACTTCCCCTTATTTACACAGTCGGCCATGACTACAAAAATGAGCATTTCACATGAGATGATGGTAAAAGTTGCACTCACCCAAACGAGAGGTCGGGCGTGTGTGAGCGCGTTCCAGTGAAAGGGATCCGGAGACAGGGGTGTCCCGCCTGTTTGATCCTCTCCACTCACAGCCGATTATACACACACACCCGCAGAGAGGCTTCCATGCTGCTTTCTGTGCAAACGAGAAGCAGGATCAGCAGCTGACCCGAGATGTGTCCCATGTGTCACACCCTCTCTTCCGGAAAGCACGGACACACAGACCCGCCTGTGTTGTCTACAGTGAAGTCGGAGTGAAGACAACCAGCGGCGGCATGCACACACTTACACACACTCCGCGCGCAGCTGGCTATTATTGCACCACCACCGTTGAAATGTGCACACAGCAGAAGGAGGCAGCTCACACACACTTCTTTGAGGCGCGTCGGATAAACCCAACTTTTATTATTCCACCACAAACGAATCCACGGGTCCTAAGATCCGCCCTGTTCCCGCCATGGAGGTTCCCGCAGCATGACCACAGCCGTGCATCCACAACACTATTTTACACTACCATATTTCTTTATTGATTAAAAACAGCATGATGCATAGGGAATTGGATTACCCGTTTTATTATCAAAGGTGCCTACTATGGGTTGTTTTCATTGCCCATCCACTGGAGATTATAATGAACCAAAAGTGGATGTATGCAGCAGAAGTGCAGCTAGCGCCTCTGCTGGCCATTTTTTTCACATTTCCGATTGAGAAAATGTTGAATGAACGCCTGACTAATTAGTGGAGATAAGCAGAGTGGTCATTGGGACTGCAGATGGTAACATCATAATTACTGAGTCCAATGCAGCCTATACACAGAACATGTTGCAGGCACTAAAAACGCCAACTGTGGCCATCACTATGTGACAATACCAGTTACATCCTTCATCTCCTTTATTTATTTTTTATTTTAATTTTAAATATTGTGACATGTGATTAAAACACCCACACTTTTACCCAAGAAAGCTTAGTCGATGGCCTGTCAGTACAGCAGTACTAACCCATGCTGACAATCCTAACAGGCCTGCTTCAATGTGATTCACTCTCTCTGAGTGAAATCATTTTCATAATCCCACAGAAACCATTATCCTCCTCAAATCTCCCAACCACCATCCCCCTTCCGAATAGTGTTAATTGAGTGGATGTAACAGGGGAAATGTATAGTATTTTCTTGTAGCAGCACAATTTTTAATAACCTATGGAACCCATCCGCCCATCATGTATCTCTTACAGGATTATGTATTACTATGTGAATATCTACAATAAACACATCCAAGAGAAAATATTATTTTACTGTTTATTTGTTACATTACATATCTTGCATTTATTTTCAATCTAAAAACATGTGTTGCAAAACAAAATGCAATATTATAGCTTTTATATTGATAGAGGAAGTAATTTTTAGTAAGTTTGTTTCATTTGTAAAACAAAAAACGTTCATCACAATTACCCAAAACTCTCAATGACACTGTTTAAAATAGTGTCATTTTTGTTTTTCATCCTAATATCCTAATATTTAAAAAAACAAATAAGCACAAATGAAAAGAATATTACAAATAATTACAATTCGAATATTTGAGAAGGAACAATTGTTATATCTAAAAATGATGTAAAAAAGTAAATTATTATTTTCTAATTGGTTAATTGACTAAGCGTCTCACCTCCAACTTCTGGTGGGTAGTTGAATCTAGATAAAAGCATAATTCTGTGCAGTTAAAAAAGTACAATAATTCCTTCTGAAATGCTTTTAACCTCCAGTCACTGTACCGTTTATTGGAATTAAAAATGGACCAAACATGTAGTGGTGGGGAAGTGGGTCCTCTCCCTCTCCTGTGGGGAAGTTCATTTAGTTTATTGGCAACAGCTTTAGCCTCACAGCACAGCACTGGCTCACACCCTGGGATAAGGGGCAGCATGTCCTCCCTCACAGTCCAATCACCCTCCAAATTTAAAGTATTTTCCAGCCAATTCTGTCTCTTTACAGATGTGTGTCCCCACAGAGCCCGCTGCACAGCGTGCTGCCTCTGCTTGTTCTCAGATGAGTCATCTTGAAACTCAGCCGATACACAGCCTTGTATGTGCATGGCAAATGTGGCTGAATCGTGATGTCTGTAGAGCATGACCAGATCATCATCAAAGCTCTGACGCTTGTGTTTGACCTTTATGCTGGTTTGAGAGAGACACCTTTAGATCATAAGAGACTTAAGACAAAACTACAAAGAGACATAAAACGGTTACAAAGGGGGGGAAACCACTGCAAGGAGACAAATAAGGCCCACAAAGAGACACAAAACAACTGCAAAGAGACATAAAACCAAAACAGAGAGACACATACAGAGTGCCAAGAGACACAAAACCACAAAAAAATGCACAACAACCACAACAAATAAATAAAAAGAGCTACAAATCTATAAAGTCTGTGTGTCATGCTTCTCAAGGAGATCTGGTGCCCTTTTACATATATATATATATGGCCAGGGGAGCAGTGTCGTATTCAACCTTGGATTCTACAATAAAGGGTTCGTTTTTTTCATTTTGTATTTCAGAAAGGTCAACAATTAAAAATCAATAAAAGCAGACTATTGCAGAAGAAAACTAAGAAATATGTGTGGGTCTCCTGGGGCTTGTTATTTCACCTCCACAAATTCCAAGGCTTAAAGGCTTTTTTTCAAACAAGACTCATTGATTCATTTCAGTCTTTCATCACCCTCGTCCTGATATGATTGGCTCAGAGAAAGCTTTGTGCCCCTTCTTTTACAGGAAAGAATAGAAAACAAGACCAGATTCCACTCCAAAACCTTTGTCTCCTTGCGCGACCTTTTCAGTTCTCTTCTCACCTTTGTGTTATCTCAGCCGCTCTGTGTGTCTGTGTCTGTGTCTGTGTGTGTGTGTGTGTGTGTGTGTGTGTCTTTCTTTCACTGGGACAGATCCCCTACTGTATTTCCCCATCATGTATTCCTCTGAGGCTCAGGGTGGAAATAAGGGGCTAATGAGATCCTGCTTCCATTTCCCTTGCAGCCTCTTGGGATCCCACCTTAACTCCAGGAACTCCCCCTGGAGAGGGTGCGTGTCATCTTCACATGTGAGATCTGATGGAGCATGACAAAGTACTTCTGGCTGTGTGGTAATTGGTAGTGAGACAGGCAGGTGTAGGTGCAAGTGAGTGTGTTTCTGCAGAGTCTTTCAAAATCTGAAGGCTGGTGATGGTTCTGTTTCATGTTTCATTCTGTTTAAGTGTGACTCATCAGCCTGGGTTCACATGGTATGCTTATGGCATGACGCTACAGGCTAAACATTGTTTTTCATGCATTTTTCATGCTAATGGAAAGCAATCATCCAAAATACACAGTTTGTGATACATTTGATTAATGTATCCTTAATTCCCACAAAGTTTACTTAAGATAGTAATTAATTAACACAATTAAACAGTTTAATTCATACATATATTACAGATTATATTCTAAAGGAAATGGATTTTGAGATTATTTTATTTATAGTATAGAGCGATATAAAAGGCCAAAAAAACTGTTAAATCCGTTGACTCTAAAAATGACACCATAATACAACACGAGTTTTGAAACTGGTTTCATCCAGATCTCATTGTTTAAATAAATGCAAATTGGCATATATTGATTTAGATAATGCATTATAAATACATTTAAAGATAGCATTTCAGAATATGCGTAGTACACAACTATTTATTGGAAGTTCCATGATGATATATTTTAGTTAAATTGTTTTACCATCCTTACCTGTGGTGCCTCCCCTTCAGACAAAAACAGCAGTGACTTGTTTGGTTGGGCTTCACTAAACTAACAAACTACGTCCTTTTTTTTCCTTGGAATGATGGGTACCAATAAAACATCCTGCCATGACTCACCGCTTTATATTTACAGGCTAGGTGGTGTAACACCGCCCCCTGCTGGTTCAACACGCTCAGTGCTCGAATGACATGATACTACAGTGTTTGCATTGGGCTCAACATCAAATGGAATCACACTGTGCAATGTCTTGAATAAAAAAGATGTGGCTTTAATAAACAAGTATGTTCCTGAAGCTATTTTAAATGTGTATGTTAAACCTCTGGAACTTGATAATAGAGTTTGTTTCTTTTAAATATAGCTACTTTTTTCGTTATTTATTGTATTATGCATGAGTTTCTAATGTCTGACTACTTTGGATTTGCAAACCTAAAGTTATGTGGTTTTACATTCATGTTGCTCTGTGTATTTTAACGTGTTCTTTTATGATGGTCTGATGTAGAAAGAAAGGCTTGATAAAGAGCAGTAAACAGACTGAAAGGGACTGTGGGATTTAGTGGCATCTAGCGTTTCAGTTGCAGATGGCAACCAAATTATTAGGACGGCATACAGATACTTTGTCTAACTTTTTCTTTAACTTCAGCTTGTTTCCTGATCTAACACCTTTTAAAATCACTTGGATTGTGCTAAATATTTGAATTGATAGTTGTAAAAAAAAAACATATCGGGAGCATGTATCCCAAAACTAGTCCTTTGTTTCCAACATTGCTTTAAAATGAAGGAGAAACAAAAAACCTACATTTTGATACTCAGAAACCTCTAAATGTATTTCACATTGAAAAACCCAATGGTCAATCCATTAAACCACTGTCAACATTTATCTGGGATAGCTTTTATTTGAAAGCATGAGTTAAACAGATCTTATATCATTACTTTTTGCCATGATAATCTTTCTAGGTAAAGTGTACCATGTTCTAAATATGACTAAAAATAATGTTTATTTTCTCATGGGTAAGATTCTAAACTTGGTTATCCTGGCAAACCCTTTTTTTTTGTGATAAGCAGTAAGATCAGTCTTGGAAATTGGATCACAACATTTTCTCTTCTCATTTGATTCTCAGGCCCTCAGTACTTTGTTATAAAACATTTCATACCCCCAGTACATAAAAAAAGAAACAAACTCGGAATAAATAACAAGATAAATTATCTTTATTTTCACGTCTTTGTCATTTATAAAATTATGTGTCCAAAATGAATATTAACAAGGCAATACAGAGAATCCTTTTAATAATTCAAGAGGTGGAACTGGGGCTCTAGAGACTGTTAACATTTCTATGCAGACAGAAAAGGGAACGGTCGCTCAGATGGTATCAACATGATCACTACTTCACTGATAGTAAAGTGCATTATTCTTTTACAGATGGACTTTGAGTACCGTGCTAGGAGGTGCCGGGGTCTCTAGAGCCTGCATCCACACCAAGCCCTTCAATGTACAGTCATTAAACTTCATAACCCAGGATTCATCACTGCTTATCGCTCAGCGTAAACCAGACACAGGTCATTCACAAACCCTTGAACATTCTCACACCGGATAACCCCCACTGAATGATCAGCGTCATCGTCATTATTAGCGAAAAGCATGATTCTTCTCTTATCTTAAACATAACGTCATATTCTTCTCCCTACAGTAAAATACACAAAACCCCAGCAACCGTAAAAACCAAAATGGGAAGAATGAAGAAAAAAAGCTCTAATCTACAAAACCAAAACAAACAAAGGAGATCCTTAGATACCATGTGCTCAAAGATAAATTCTAAATGGATTCTCGCAATTCTGTGCGTTGTTGTGAGTTGGTTTCACTGACGCAAGTTATAAAATTAAATATTATATACTGTATAGGTTATTATTACAGTAACAATGTTCCATGCGATCATTTTTCTCATCTTCTGTACAGAGTTGAGGATTCAGTAGTAAATAACAAGGATACAGACCTATAGCGCCTGGTGGCCAGAGTGCCAAAATGTTACAGAGCTGTGGAGAGCTGGGACAGGGGGTCTACAGAGTGGCCCAATATCATGGTGGTGAAACAAAAGCGGCTGTTTTACAAAAATCTGAATCAAAATAAAGCTATTATTTACTGGAAAATTTGGAAGGAACAGTCCATCCTTAAAGTGTATCTCATTGTGCTCGATGTTCAAAGCCTTTTTTGTCTGATAATGTGTGTATTTTCTCTATGTGCTTAATCAATTTCAACCTAAAAGGATATTTGGGATTTTTGGATGTGGACCAGTGTATTTCCTACAGTAGATAGCGGAAAATTAGCCAGTTTGTTGGAAGAGACAGGAGAAGTGGCACCAACGCTAAGCAATGTACTGCAGCAGACAAAGGAAGAAGCAAAACATGTCTTAGCAACCTAAAATATCAGTCAAAATGTAAGTTGTATTATTTTCATCACTTTAACTTACCGTGAGACAGCCCTTTCCTAGGGGGACTATTATTATAAGCCATTAGCTCTCTTTAAAGCCATCAGACTCCACTGACAAAAACAGTAATTTTACCGCACAGAACATGGACGTTTCTGGCCTACTGCTGCATAAATATTTAGTTTGTTTGTGTTATCGTGCATCTTTGGTGTTTTAAAGGGTTGATTAAGATTATTCAAAGTCGCACAATAACACAAAACGAACTGACGATCAAGGCAGCGATAGACCAGCAACTCCCGTGCTCAGCAAGGTCGAATTATTGTTTTTTTCAATGGGCTTTGTAGAGAGCATAAATAACGCCTTTAGTTACCCGTCGGAAAGCTATGTGTGGCGGAAAGGTAAAGCAGTGAAGATACTCTAAAAATAACGTTCACTTAAACAGATAGATTTTTTAGATATCTAACATACATTTTGCTGCTGCCACCTTCAACATCAGTACACTACTTTGCTAAGCACTTTTCTCCAAATCTGGGGCATCTCCACCGCCATTTTCAGGAGGTCATACTCTGAATTTGAATGTTTCTCAATCAACCTCAACAATGAATTTCCAAGAATGACCCCAGAGAGCATGTGGAATTGGAAATTGGACTCGATGAAGACATACCATCTTGGTTTGGCTTGTTATCCCCTGGAGTAGGAAAAACATCACCAGGCAACAAAATAGATGAATAGAACTACATACAGTCCTGTTAGCAATAGTCGCTCATTTTGAAAGTGTTTAAGGATGGATTTTCCTTTGGATTCTAAACCATGCTTCATGTCAAATTGTGGAAAATCAGGTCTGGAAACAAGAAATGAAATAAAACATGTTCCTTGACAAACGCTATATTCATATGTAGCTTTATTAAATTAAATCATTTTTGATGCAGCCATTTTTTTTTTAAGTGCATACTCTCCTCTATGGAAGCAAAAGAGACCACAACCACTACTGACCCAGTCCGCAGAGCACCATGGCCCAACACATAAACCCATAATTAAGACTTAAAGACACAATCCAAACCCACGGGTTCATTCAGTCAAATACATTACTATTTAGTCATTATAAAACAATACCAAAGTGAGTTGCTAAAGCACTGAGAGAGCAGGAGGAGCTGAGGGAGCAGCACACAAAGCACACAAAAAAGGGCATCCGATTAAACATGCCGCAGATCAGGAGGACATTCAGAGTCTCTGAGACCCCGAGTATCCCTGTCAGGGCAATAAGAGTGCCAGTGGTGACGGTGGGTGCTAATTAAAGGCTAGCAGAAACACATTCATTTAGACCACAAAGTGGAGGTGCAGTGGGCTGTATAAGGCATGGATGATACATGTGCTTGATGATTCATAACCAAGTGACACAATCAAGCAGTTTACTTGCCATTCCTTAACTTAATCTAACTACATCATCTGTGCGCAAGAAGCCTATCAAATCAGACAAATTAAGTCAAGTAAGGCTATATAAGCACACACACTTTAGCGCTGGTGCAGGGTTAGATACAACTGAACACATTAAAAGGGTAGATGAACAACAGGATGCTCTAAGACCATCATTATGTACAACATGTCATGAAGTTCATCGTCCTTTTCGGATCTGCCTTTAATTTAGACATTTGACAGCTAAAACTCAGCACAGCAGATGGACATTAGATTGAGGCGTAACAGGACCAGCTACTCTACCGTTTGGTTGATATTTGACATTTTGGTAACGCTTACTATGACACCCATGTCTTTTACGCATTATAAACACACTTATAGGAGTTATAATCTGCTAATAGCACTGTTTAATTAGACTTAAACACTCATAAAGCTTTATAACAATAATCATAACACATTAAAAAAGTATATATTTGTATTATTTTTAGGTTGAGGGTTCATAACACTTCATAATTGCAAGTCAGTCGCTGATATTTGTTTGCAAGGATCATCATTTAATACATGATAGACATGGGCTTGCAAAATAATTCAGTTACTCAGAAATATTACGATACTTTAGTCATGAAATACTTTGTGTTATAAAGGATTGTAGAAATGTATGTCTATGATCGCTTATGACAATAATTATACAGTGCTATTAGCTAATAATTAGTCATTTACAATGCATTATAAACACAGGCGTGCCACAGACATTTTTATTTATTTATTTGTATTTTATACACGTTTACCAAGTCTGTGAGCTGACCTCAGCTCCTCGATTTAAGAGGCGAAGGAAGCGGCCAAGCGGCATAAAGCTATTCACACCTTTAGGTGGAGCGAAATCTCCCCACCCCAACTCGAAGAGGCCGATGAGGTCATAACCCCGAGCCCACAGGTGCCTCCTCCACAGAAAGCGAGAAAGAGAGACAGAGAGTACATCTGCATAAAAGCAAGATCAGTAAGACTTCGGACAAAGAGCGATGGTGGAGCAGCGCTGTGACAAACTGGCCAGAGATACGATGTTGTTGTGCTGATAAGGCCGCGCCCCTGGAACTCTCGGCCAGTAGTGTGCGTGTGTGTGTGGCGGTACCTCCAGATAATTGTTTAGTGGACACACACTGGAACAATGGTCATCTCGTATCCCGCTGTTTTCACCTCCTACGTTCTTGTTTATTCTCGTGATGTCTCTTCTCCATGATGGCAGGCCTCTCAGTCTCTCTTTCCGTCTCTCTGCTATTTTCAAATATCCCTCCCCCTCCCACCTAATATTATTATCCGTTCCCCTGTCCTCCCTCTCCTTCCCTCCCAAAGTCCAGTTACTGCACCACTGTATGTATAGTCAAGAAAACAATGAGCAGACATCTTTAAAAAGCAGAGCCGACTAGTTAGGAATATGTTTTTCTTTTCACACACACACACACACACACACACACACACACACACACACACACACACACACACACACACACACACACACACACACACACACACACACACACACACACACACACACACACACACACCTCATTTCTAGTGGTGTTTGTTGGACATGCAGGATTGAGGGAACGAGGACAGGGGAGACAAAAAAGGTTTCTAGCTTTCTATCTCGTAAAGGGAAGAGGGGAGGCGTGTGTTTAAGTGTGTGAGTGTGTCGAGGGAGATGACTTAGTCCCGCTTCCATCTCCTCCGGTATTTCCTTTCCTCATCACCTGCCGGGAAAAAAAAAAGATAAAACATTTAGAGTTCATTATAACTAGTGCGATCTGTCCATAGCTTTTTTCACAGGAGGGAAGAAAGCATGAAGAGGTTGAGTACCTTTTCAAAGAAGGTGAGACAAAAAGAGTTTAGGCTGAAGTAGAAATGCAGGAGAGAAAAAGAGAGCAGAGGAGAGTCAGTCAAATCCGATGTTCAACATTCATTGATTTAAGAAACTTCACCTCTACATTTTTCACACCACGTTTGTATGGGTGGACATATTGGGACCAACAGGCTCAACAAACCTTCTAGATAGTTCCTGGCGACATATTTCAGTGCCTCATCCAGGAGGATGACAGGGATGGAGATCTTCAGGACCACGATCCACTGTGACCAGTGCAGAGGGGTCACCTGGAAGATCAACTGGAAGACAGAGGGATTAGAAAGTCAGAGAGTCTTAACAGTAAAATAGATGCTGAGCACAGCCGACACTGTAATGAAGACTTTTCTGCTGCAAAACAACAAGTTTCCTGGGGAGACTTAAATGCGGAGAACATGCCTTGGGAACGTTTGCCGTTTTGCATGACTTGCAGTTTTCCTGTATACAGCAGTGTTTGTTTTTTCTGTATGAGGTTGCGTTTCTACGGACCCCCCTCCCCTTCGGGCCATGACTTGAATATAGGTGGACAAAAATAAGAATTGCACAAATCATCTTTCTTTTATTTCCTCAGTAAAAGCGTTTTCTTGCGGGTGAATTGGTTTGTGTTGTTGTCAGGATATTATGGTTTTGATGCATTCATATTTTTCTTCCAGTTTTAATTTATTGATGCACTCTAAACACAAGGTACATTTCGTGTGGGTTAGAAAGTTATTAACATTACCGTCATGTCTTTCTTTTGGCAAGAAATCATATTTTAATTGTTGCTAATTTGGCATTTCTAGTCCTATTTGTAATAAGAAGGTTAGCCTCTTGTGGCAAAAAAAAAATCATTTTTACAACAACGAACACTTTATAAAGGTTACTTAAAATGTAACCTCTTAAACTTGTATTTTTTGTGGCAAACATTTTCTTTCCTACTGTAGATCTAAATAGTCTGTATTTAGTTGTGTCTTCTGTACTTTACATGTGTTTCTCAAGTTGCAGGGCGGTAACATTTTCAGGGCCACTGTAATTTTCTCTCAATGTATATTTTGCCATTCAAACACAACACTATCATGGAAAATCTGCCTTTTTAAAAATGTCATCATTCAACACCCCATAGGTCCAACTCACTGACAGTCATGTGGTTGAATTCTTACCGGCAGAGGCTCGACGTAGAGGATTAGGAAGTGGAGGGAGAGGGAGAGGACGATGGCTCCCAGCAGCCAGAAATTGACCCAGGGAGGCATCCTGATCAGGGACTGGTTCTCAGACAAACTGGCGGATATAATTGTAAATAGATTAGACAATTGATCGGGCCTGACATTGATGCTATTCTATGATGTTAAAAGTTGATACAAGTCTTTAACCAGATTAGAATTAAAGTAACAAGCAATCATTAAGGTCTCAGAATGGGCAATAGTATCCATGTAAACATGTTTTCCCTCTGTCTGTTTTACTAAATGTCATATTTTGGGATAACATTTTCAGTGTCATGTAGCCCTTAATTTCAACCTTCCCTTTCTCAGATTCTTTCCTGAATAAGACATTACTATGTATTTCTATAAGGAGTTACTGACAGACTTGCTCCATGAGCAATCCTGGCAAAAAAGCTTAATTTCCCCCTTCATACCACTGTGCCTTTTATTTTCTGCCTCCCCAAAAAAGCATTATTCCATTTTTTAAAGATGTGTGGCTAAGCTTAATTCCATTACCACAATCACTAAATGCAGATTTGTTAAGGAGTTTTATAAAAGTCCTTATATTTGAAGTCATGAGAATATAACCGAAGCAATGAAATACTGCAGCTGCAAAATGTATTTTAGCTATGTTAAACTATTTTAACCTTGACTTTCCAAAAGCGAAGCAACTAACTGCTATCTACAAAAGTACCAGCCACAATTTAGAAAACAAGTTATTTATCATCAGTTAGTTTGTTTATTAGTTAGTTTGTTTGTTTATGTGTTTTTATGACTTTGGTGTTTCAAAGGGTTAGTTAAGATTCCCCAAAGTCACACAATAACATGAACAAATGAACTGTAGCAGCAATAGACAGGGAACTTCAGGGTTTTTTGCAAGGTAAATGTTGTGTTTCTGTCAAAGGTGTTTGGTGGCCTTGAAAAGAACAGATGGAAAAAATAGCAGGCTATTTTAAGGTAGCAAAACACATTTTACTGCTGCCTGTGCCTCTAAAAAATATATATTTATTTAAATACCCTGCTAGTATTCCCATCTCTTTTACCAAACAGAGGGGTGTGCCAACTCTCATCTAATGTACGTAAGATACCAAGCACTTAATTCAAACACATTTCCAAAAGTGCCAACTATTCATTCAGCAGTGAAAGAAGTAGATTTTTGTGATGGATGCGTTTTTCATGCTAAGAAAGTTGGTTAATTCTGTCAGCTGGACGACAACAGTGAGTCTTCTTTTTAACTGAAATCTGACAGCGTTGACATTTAAGGAGTGTTTATCCTCCACATCATAACGAAAGATGACCGACCTGTTGAGTGAGTTGAACATCTCGATGGTGACCAGCACAGATAGGGCCATGGTTGTGGGGTAGCGGGATTCAAACACATCACAGTCGATTCCCTTGAACATGGGGTTATCCTCAGTGCACTGCATGAAGTGTCTCTGTAGACAGAGAGACAGAGCAGTGAGTGTGTCTGTGTGCACGTGTGTGTATGTCCGCAGCAGGAACCCTGCGACCTGGTTTGATGGAGCTGAGATCTGATGGGTTAACAGCTGCAGAACCTTGGCCTTGTTCCCACTTTGCGTGTACCAAACCACATGGGTCTTGCTTCCATTTCTATTTTGGTTAACACTGGGAGCAGGCCCAATCATTACCGTCTCCAACAGTGGGTGTTATGTAAATTAAGTTTGAAGGGCTGTATGTCATAATAGATACAAATCTATATTCTGAGGACTGGACCGCGCCGGTGCTGATACATTTAGACAGTGTGTTTTGCTACTCACCAGCTGATAGAAGGACACTTGTGGGCCGCCCTCATCATACAGATACCACCATGTGGCAGCGCCTACTGTTCCAAGACCCACATATCCTACAGGAGACACAGTCAGAAACAAAATTACATGTAAAACTAAAATTACTAGATAGATGTAGTTATTCCCAGGAAGAAAATGGGTTTTTATGGGTTGTGTGCTTTTAATCTTGGCTGTCTGTTAACTGCAAGAGCTAACTTTGTGTAGTTGCAGTTAGCATTATTATGCTAGCTGCTGCTTTTACGGAGTCCAGAAGGTTGACAGATGTCCATCGACGCTAAGGCTGTGCTAAATAGAATTTTTGTGGAAATACAAGGGTGTGCCGCACACAAAATGTACCTCTGACAAGAAGTTACATTTAGTAGGTCTGTCTGTGAGTGGGATTCCACAAAAAACAACTAGCCTGAGTTGTATTTAAAAAGGATGGAGGTGTGAAGCATGGTCCAAGGTGAACACATTCCATTATCAGTCTCATGAACACTGCTATGGCATTTGTGTGGCATTTGTGTTGTGTGGGGAATCTTCAGAAATCCTTTCTCCAGATTGTAAAATTCCCAAACTCAGAAACAGATATTAACATTTTATGTTATACCTTCTGATCAATGAAATACAACACATGTTCTAAGTATCATCTGTGTCGTTTCATTGCTTAACTTGAAGCTAATCACACACCGAAATCTTAATCCCAACACAGGAAATGGGAACACCTGTTGATCATGTAAATGCAGTATTGGCATTTGCAGAGGTCTATGCTCGCCAGTTGCAATTCTAGATTTACTTTCATACATACATTTTATATAAATTCATTATCTATAGTGAGAAAATGCATAATCACACATCAAATCACAGCAGAGCTAAACATACCTCCAATGGCCAAATATCTGAAGAAGAGCCAGCCAGAGATGAGGGGCTCCTTAGGGTTGCGGGGGGGTTTGTCCATGATGTCCAGGTCTGGGGGGTTGAAGCCCAGGGCGGTGGCTGGCAGGCCGTCGGTCACCAGGTTCACCCAGAGCAGCTGCACTGGGATCAGAGCCTCAGGGAGCCCCAGGATGGCTGTCAGGAAGATGCTGGAGAGAGAGTGAGGAGAAACCAACATCAGCTGATGACGTCAGACTCAACGTGAAGGTAATATCTCAGCGTGTTCCTCTTCCTCACCAGACCACTTCCCCCACGTTGGAAGAGATGAGGTATCTGATGAACTGCTTCATGTTGTTGTAGATGGCTCTGCCCTCCTCTACGGCAGCCACGATCGTGGAGAAGTTATCATCAGAGAGCACCATCTCAGACGCTGACTTCGCCACCGCTGTGCCGGAGCCCATGGCGATGCCGATTTCGGCTTTCTTCAGGGCGGGGGCGTCGTTCACACCATCTCCTGTCTGGGACCACAAAAGATCAATCCTCAGAAAACCTGACTTGTATTCGATTCCTGATTCTGTCAATAATCCCAAAACATTTGCAGAAAAGACCAATTATTTAAAAATGAATTGCTTCCTCTCAGACGGCAACTTTATTTGGAAATGGAATCAGATATTCCGGAGATGGAAGGGGGAGCAGGAAAAAATGCCATTATATAAGACTGATTCACCAATGCAAAAGTGAAATGGTGTAAAAAGAAAACCTCAATATTACAAAATAACAAGATTTGTGACTTTAGACTCAGAGAATTTCAAATGTTTATCTAAGAAATTCTCGAAAAGGCACGACTTTAATCTCGGAAGTTCTACTTTTTCGACCCAAAATGGCCCAAAAATGCAACTGCTTAGAAAGTAGTCTTGTATAACAAATGGACCTTATCTGGAGAAAACCTTTGAATACGGTACATTTCTTTTAAAGGGTATTTTTTGAGGGAACATATATATTTGTTTTACTATTCTAACCTCAACTTGTTTTTCATTCCCACATTTTCAGGGGCGATAACACTTTTAACAGAGACTAACGGCGATGAAAGCTAATGACTATGTTGTCACACAACGTCTCATTATCGTGTCAGATCCAGACAAGATTAATCAAGAGCTGAGCAAGTGAGATATATTAATGTGTCACGACAGGGCCTAAAGCTGCTTTAGACCGCTGTGAATGGTAGAGTTAGTCTGACAGGCAAATGGTGATATTGCTGTCTCCATCCCTCCCATCTTCCCCTCCGATCACCCCTCTTCTGAGACATGTGTCAGATAGGACGCAGCGGAGCGGGCTGGAGATGACAGCTTCTGATAGCAGTGTTTGAGAGAGCAGCCTCAGAGAGACCTGAAACATGTAACGCCTCACTGGCCTCTTCTCATGCATTCTCAACAAGTCGTTCAGACAACGCAAAAACCAGAGGAAGGTGGGAAATGCTTTGTTTTTCTGCCTTGCAACAGGCGTAAAGTACGGAGCCCTTAGAGTCTAGATGGAAAAAAAATACCCGGTGATACATTTTCTAAGTCTGTTCTTAATATTTTCCTCTGTGGTGACGACTTAAGAACAGGAAAGAAAAAAAAGGTTGTTCTTGATAGTCATGTTCCCTTGTTTTGGTTCTTAATTTTGGCCACAAGAGGCTGTAGTGTGCAACTGCCCCATGTTCCAAAAAGGACTAATAGCATTTATATTTTCTTATTACACTCTAGAAATACAGTGTGTTACATTATGTAGCATTACTATCATGTCTTTTACTTGGCTAAAACTGTATTTCAATCATATCAATATGTGTACCCATTATTACAGTATCCAAAAAAATCAGAAAAATGATCTTGGCAAAATGTCTTTTCTCCTCCTTTTTCACTGATGACACGATGAACAATTATCTTGTTAAAATTGTTCCTCCCTCATTAACGCAGACAGGAGTTTAAAAAAAATTGAATCAGACTTATTTTTTCTTTCTGATCTCTTAGTTCTTCCATTAATAATAAACCTATGAAATGTATAATGATTTCATTAGCAGGAAGTAAAGAAATTGTATAGTTTAAGGGGTGGGTGTAGGGTAAAAAGTATAGATGCACACTATACATTTACAAAGGCATCCCCCCCTTCCCTCACCATGGCAGTAATCTCATTGAATGACTGCAGGAATCCCACAATCTTAGACTTGTGAGATGGCTCCACGCGGGCGAAGCATCGCCCCCGTTTGACGGCTTCTCTCTGTTCCTCCAGCGTGAGGTCATCGAACTCGCGCCCCGTGTAGGCCATTCCGGTCACGTCGTCATCCTCGCCGAAGATGCCAACTCGTCTGCAGATAGCCACAGCTGTGCCCTTGTTGTCTCCCGTGATCATAATAACGCGGATGCCTGCCTCGTTGCACAGTTTCACTGAACCGATCACCTCCTTCCTGGGCGGGTCCAGCATGCCCACACAGCCAACAAATGTGAGGCCCAACTGAATAGAAAAAAAAAAGAAAAGAGAGGAGGATTAGGTGGAAAAGGACTTTATCAGAAAACCGAATCTCACCTCGCATCCTCAGAAATGGAATTCACATTATTTGTATTTGTTGTATTGCTGCTGAAAACATCAAACTGATTAGTTTCAATGCAACAAAAAACAGTCTCAGAGAATAAGAACCAAGAGTAGAAGGGTTATTCTTTCAGTGGAAAGAAGATTCTATCACTGCTGTCAAACGAAAAACAGACGGCAGCAAAGAGGACAATATCTGTGAATAGGGTAAACTGAAACATCTCACCATGATACTTCCATGGTTGATCAATTATATTTAGACATTTATATTATGCATGACAATGTTTCCGAAATGTTTATTATTATATTCCATTTTCTAAATGTTTTTAAAGAATAAAAAGTTATGTTTAATATGCTATGGATAATAGATTAACAAACCCCTCTATATAGACATTTAAAATATATACCGGTATATTAATTAAACAGGGAAGTTTGGTGAATGTAAGTTGGAATTTTTTGTATGACTATACAGTAGGAAAAGACACAACAGGCAAAGGGTGTAAAACACTAAAAGATATGAAAAAACCTCCACAGTTCATTATTAAGTATAATACTTTTTTTAATAACCGGTGTTCTAAAAGGTATTGTTGAAACATGCAGATGAGGCCTTATCAAAAGCTCACTTTGGTGAATTTAGGACAAATCTACAAATGCATAGTGTAGTTAAATGAACACCTAAATGTGTATTTTGGATGTTTTGATTTCACAAGGAAGAAGCAACTCTCAACTCTGAAACTGACCAGTGCATGTTTTTGCCTGTGGTGTGTCACCAAATGAGCCTATTTGACCAACTTGGATTCCTAAGATAAGCATCAGATGTCACCACGCTCCTCCACTATACCTCATAACCTGCAAACTTGTTTGAATTCTCCAGGTCCATGTCCTCTTTGCGTAGCGGGATGTCACGAGTGGCCAGGGCCAGGCAGCGCAGTGTGTCCCTGCCCGTCCCCCAGTCCCTGATCTTAGACAGCAGCTGGTCCCTCAAGGCGTCGGTCAGCGGGACCTTCCCTGTCCCCACCCTCAGGTACTGACAGCGCTCTATCACACTCTCTGGAGCCCCCTGAGGGGAGGAGAGAGAACAACATCAAGCCCTGAAAGCAACACATACAAAGGATGAAAGTCTCTCTGTTTATTGGTTATATTATTTGTTCATACCTTGATGAACATCTTGCTCTGGGACCCTGGCTTGACGGGGGTGCAGTAGACGGACATGGACTTGCGGTCACGAGAGAACTCCAGAGTGAACTCTTTCTTCATTAACTGCTTGATCACCTGAGGGATGAAGAATAGGGAGATGTTACAGAAGAAAAGAAGAAGAAAGAGCCAGGGCAGGAGCTAAGCAGCTGAATCTGTGGGCAGCTGTCAGGCCAGTGAGCAGGCTGCTGACAGCTGATGGATGACTCTTCAGACTAAGCACTCAACCACCTTGTCTGGGTGTCTGCCTGCCGCCTCAGATGTCTATGTACAACAGCATGATGATAATGTAGACCTGGCTGAGGATGGTTAGGAATAACTACTGGAGGTTTATGTACAATTAGAGCTAAAATGCTAAATGGAAGAAATACCAAAATACAGGGTTGATACATATTTTTCAAAGTCAAATTCTAGCTTTTCCAGCACCTTACATTGTGGTTACCGTAATTTCCGGACTATAAGGCGCACCTGAATATAAGCCGCAGCAGCTAAATTGAATGATGTGTACATATATAAGCCGCACTGGACTATAAGCCGCAGGTGTTTTAATGTTTAATTACCATATGTAAGGGTTCGTGCACAGAGGGGATTGTCGGGAAAGAGATGGCTGTTTGAGGAAGCTCCCATTTATTAACATTTCAACAAACCAGTTGCATATTTGCATAACGTATTCAAGTGTTAGCATTTAGTGCAATAGTAGCTACAGAACATATGTGTGCTGTGTAAACTGTACTGTATCACATACGTTTTCAGACACACAAACTTTTCAACTTTCAAACTTAAACCGGTGCGCTCCAGCTCACGTACCGGCAGTGATCTACAGCAGTGGTTTCAACCAGTGGAACGGGGAAAAACTGTCTCGTTCCTCGTAATGTCTGTCTCTTGCTCTCAGTTCTGGCGCGACACTCTCGGTTCCACTTTACTTGCCCCTACCCTGTCTCACTCTTTTCCCGGGCATCCAGCTTTTTCCTGTGGAACCCGGCCCGGCTTAAAGTTGGCGGTCCGCGGGACCGGGAACCATTAGAGCCCATAGAGTTAAAGGTGGTGGCCCGTCGAGCTGACAGAATCCATGATTGGACGCCCACCGTTATATAAGCCAGCGTCGGAAAAAATGGAAAAAGGGCGGCTTATAGTCCGAACAATGTTACGGTCTAATCTACATTATATGCAGTTCCATACATCAGCTGCAACTTCCATTGGTATCTATACAAATCCCAATACAATGTTCTGCTTAAGCTTACTTCCTGATATTCCCCAAATCCAAGTNTGTGTGTGTGTGTGTGTGTGGAGGGAGCACGAGACGGTAGGAGTTGTGTTGGAGTGTGGGGAAAAGTCATAATGAGTGTTATACTATTGATTGGTTCTGTAAGGCGTGGCTGTGGCCGTCAATACCAGAACAGAACCAATCAATAGTATAACACTCATTATGACTTTTCCCCACACTCCAACACAACTCCTACCGTCTCGTGCTCCCTCCACACACACACACACACACACACCTGGAAGGGGCGGTCTCTCCCTAACTCCCACCAACAACATTGCCTAAATAACTTTAAAAATGTACTAAACTGTGCACATCTGATAACGGACATAACTATTAACTTGGACACGCTGCAATATTATCATTAATATTTACATTAAAACATTCCTTTGACACTTATAACATTACTTTGCAAGGTAAGCACAACCAAAATAAGTTTGTAAAAGCAGAAGTTGAATACTGTTTCTGTGCTCCTACAATATTTTTGTATAATACCATTACACCCTAAGCCAGAGGTGCCCAGTACGTCGACCGCAGTCGACCGGGCAATGCTGGTAGATCGCGAGTCATTCATAAAAAAAAAGATCCAGCTCCGTTAAAATAGACAAAACAGGTTTTGATCCCTCCTCCCTTGGCCTCCCTGCGACCTATCGCTTTCCAGTCTGTTATCGGAGTGTTCACAAGGGATATGACAGCGACTTCCCTCCGAGTAGCGAGTTGAGAAAGAGAAAGGTCATGTATTATTGCTACAAAAACATTATCTCGCAGTCTTAGTGTAGCCAACTCGTTTCTAACATGCAAAAAGACAAACAAATGCGTCTATGGTCAGTGTATTTTTGATCTTTCCGATCGAGACGAGATCTCTCTCCCCCGTCTGTGTGCGAGGGGGCGGGGCAGTTTACACTACGGGTGGGCGATACCACAAAATCTGGATTCGATCCGATACCAAGTATTTCAGGGCCAGTATCGCCGATACCGATACTTTTTAAAATGAAAAGCGTCTTACTGTATGTACTTTCATATAGGGCGGAGCTGCATGACATGATTTTTGAGCTTAAGGCATCATAAATAGACTAAATCTGAATTCCTTTTCATGAATAAAGACAGGACAGTTTTTATAGACAAATACACGTTTTAGTTTTGCAAATTTAAAGTGCAAACATGAAAACTAACAATACAAGTGGCCAAAGTAGTGAACTGTGTTCTTGCACACATCACAGTTCGCTAAGTTTTAATTGCCAGTTGTGAAATTGCTCCACACAACGCTCCTCTTTCTCTCAGCGATCATGCGCGTGTGTGTGTGTTGCACTCGCGAGTCGCTGGCTGCTGCTGTCCTGCCCTGCTGCTGTCCTGCCCTGCTGGCTGCTGTCAGTCAGCTTGATAATCGGCGTTCAGGCAGGGAGCGCGCTGCGCGTGCGCGAGGCTCGAGGAGAGGAGGACAGCAGTGGATAAGAAAGTGAAGAAAGTGAAAGAAAGTGGAGAAGAAAAGAGCATATACTTGTGTTAGTCAGCACATAGTTTTTTGAAGAAATTGACGAGTAGAGGAGACGGGGAAAAAAAGTATAAAAGTATCGATCCTATTGGCTCTAGTATCGATATTTTGAAACGTAACGTAATATCGGAAGTATCGATATTTTGGGATCGATCCGCCCACCCCTATTAAATTGAGCGAAATGAGGAATGGCTAAAATGGATGATCTGTTTGGTATTTTGAAAAATGAAAAGTATAAATGCCTTATATAGGTATGGTCCTACACTATATTATTCAAATATAGCATGATAGGTCCACTTTAAGTGGTCCTTGGTATGAAAAAGTTTGAGAAACACTTTTAACAAGTTAAGAAAAGTTGGTCATGGATCGATGTTTTGATATGAAAACTAAACTCTTGAATCATCAGTACACTCTTCTAATCAGAAAAGAGAAATAAATCGCACCTTGTTGTCTAGGAGCCGAGTGTAGCTGAATTCCGGAAAGCTTCTCTCATCAGGGTCGAACAGTTTGAGCACCAGGCGGACCGAGCTGGGTTCTGAAGGCCGGTCCAAACACTTCTTCTCCTCCTGAACAACACCCGGGGGGGGCATCACCTCCACCGGGGCCGGCTGGGTGGGGAGAGGGGCTTCACAGGACAGCGTGGTGAGCTGGACCCTCCGAGACTCTGCCATCACAGCTGATAACACCGGCAGGGTGTGTGTGTGTTTCAACCATGGATGTATAATACGAGGTTTCAATCAGGCAGAAAGGGATCCATTAGGTACAAACATGTGCAGGTGTGCGCCACGTTTTGGTCACGTGATCGCCTCCGCACGCTGCAGCCACTCCTTGGTGGAAATATCAGTGGAAATATCAGTTATATGAATAATTAATTCGAAAAAACAGATAATGGACATTATTTAAATGAATATTAGTCTGGTTTATAAGCTATTTCCTTAATGTCAAAACAATTGTTCTTAAAGGTGGGGTAGGTAATTTTGGAGAAACCAGTGCGCTAGAATTTGAAAATACACAACCGGAAAAAATCCGGCCCGTCATCCAAGACAAACGAATGCGCACATAACCAATGAGGGCACGAGATAAATTTGTGCACAGATGGACGGCTGACAGGCAGGTAGGTCATCCAGTTATTTTAGCCGGGCCGGCTATTGTCAGAGCATATATTCATTCATTGCTATCGGATGTTAAGAGCATTCCATGGAATATAACAAAAAGTGTTTTCTGAAATAAATTACATACCCCACCTTTAAGGAAATAAAATACAAATGAGATTTTTTTTCCTGTGAGCAAATTAACCCTTAAAATAAGCAGTCATCTTGAGTGAAAGTACTGATACGACACTGTACACATACTCACTTTTAAGTTAAAGTACTGCATCTAGAATCAAATGTAAAGTGTAATGTAGTTTAAGTATTAAGAGTAAAAGTGTTCATTGCAGAAAAAACTCAACAAATAGCCTATAAATATTGATTGTACTTGTAGGCTAAGTACAAAGTATACCAAAACATTTACATACTCAAGTAAAGTAGGCTACAAGTATATCAAAAGTATCCTGAACGACAGTTAAGTGTTAATGTACTTAGTTACTTTACACCTCTGAACATGGATATATTTGAGAACTTGTTTATAAAATGTACCCTTTTTCAGCAGTTTTATGTTGATGATACTCATTGATATATCTATTGTTTCTCTTGTATTTATTTGCATTGCTGTTGAGGTAATCCAAAAGTAATTTAATGTTACATGGCTTTTATATATATTTTTTTTATAGGTAGCTAATTGTAATAGATTATTTTGTTAAAGTAACCCTCCCTGAGCCTAAGTTAGACAACAAAAACTAAAATGTCCATAGAAATGATCCATTGTGATTCCATCATGCACAGTTTTTGAGTTGTAATTCTCTGTATAAAATCACCTGGAATATTTTGCAAATAAATTAACATTAAAAGGGTTTGACATTTCTGTCTTTTTTTGTTAGTACCCTTGTATATTATGCTCCTTAATGATTTCATCAATTTATATCAGTTTATTTTATAAAGCCATGTGTGGATTATAATTATGATAACTATTTTTAATATTACCAATTGTATTCATACAGAGAAGTGCTTTACACCTTCTTTACCACACGGGGGCGCTGTAAGTCCATGCGGATGAGCAGAGAAACAGGAAGAGATATTTCAGCACAGTTTAACTTTGAAAACAAAAAACTCTTTATATCACATATACTGAAGATGCTCATTAGGCTCATGGTTTCACAATAAATGAAGGAAACTGAAATCCTGCCAACACTTTGTTAATAAGGATGTCATGAAACACAACAGTCTGCAGGTTTATTAAAGATTTGCATCTGTTTTGCAGCATCTTCTCTCAATAAACATTACTTTACCAGACCTTTAAATTACATAAAGACACATTGAAAATACCTTAATTTTAAATAAACAGCCTTCATCTTGTCAACGTTAATCCTGCAGTGATGTCCAAACAGCAGTGTGTCTGTTAAATGAGAGACTGTTTAACAAGATTGACAAAAAAAGGTCACAGAGACCAAATCCAAGTCATGTATCTTTCATGCAGCCTGCACTCAGCCTGCAGTAAATTGACTTTGACAATTACAATAACGGGATAATTGCAATCTGTCACCATACATTCTGTGTTAGCATATCACAAAATAACCAATCCGAGCCACTCACTTCACACACACACACACACACACACACACACACACACACACACACACACACACACACACACACACACACACACACACAAACATGTCCCTGATCTGCATAACACACACAGCACCCCGCTTTGTAATTATAAATGAATTTCACGGTGCGAGGCTTTTAATGCAAATAATATGGATCTTTTTTTCCCTCTGACCAACAGGACTCAGTGTGTGTGTGTGTATGTGCAGTGTGTGCAGTGCACGTGTGTGTGTGTGTGTGTGTGTGTGTGTGTGTGTGTGTGTGTGTGTGTGTGTGTGTGTGTGTAGTGACAGGGACCCCATCAGTGCAGGATCAGAGTGGGGAAATTGGAGGACAATGTCTGAGAGGGGGGGCGGGGGATAATTTGAAGCGATCGGGGGGGCGGGGTCCCAGAGGTGCATAATTCACTCGTTCATTAACTAGACCAAACAAGAGCCAATATTAATTAACTCGTTCCTCGTGCTGAGGCGCCCCGAGAAGCGCGTGCTTTGTTGTCAATT